TTGGAAATGCATTCGATGCTCGACGCGGACTGACACTAATTTCGACTTTTTAACACGTATAAGAATAACACATCATTCAACCTCACCTTCGGTACATGACTAAAACTCATTTCACAAGCTGAGCCCTAATCGCTGGCCTAACGAAGAGTCTTCGCGGGCAACTATTTTAAATCAACATGTCTTCTCTCGAACTAATTAATCCTTCGCCTCACGAACATGCCGCCGTGAAGCCGCCCGAAAATGCTTCCAATCTTGTTACGATAGATAATTATGATTCATTGACGGGGAACATTTACCAATATCTTGTACTTGAGGGTGCAACAGTTACAGTTTATCGCAATGATAAGATAACCGTAGAGGAACTCGCTGCTAAGAGTCCAAACACAACTGGTCGTCAGTCCTGGCCCTGGCCACCCACTCTCCAATTCTGGGGTTAGTAAAGATGCCATCAGGCATTTCGCGGGAAAGATTCCTGTTCTTGGAGTCTGCATGGGACAGTGAGTATTTACTTGGCCAATGCTTCTTATGGAGAACTAAGAGTTGGCAGGCAATGCATTTTCTCCGTGTTCGGCGGCGATGTCTCGTACGCAGGCGAAATTCTCCACGGCAAAACCTCGACATTGCTCCACGACTCCAAGGGGGTGTACAAAGGCATTCCACAGAGCTTACCCGTTACTCGATACCACTCGCCAGCGGAGCCACATCTAACCCTGCCGGAGAGCCTGGAAGTGACATCCTGGATAGCGAGCCCAGAGGGAGGTGAGAAAGGAGTCATCATGGGTGTGCGACACAAAGAATATGTGGTGGAAGGAGTGCAGTTCCACCCGGAATGCATTCTAACTGCGGAAGGCCGGGTTATACTGAAAAACTTCTTGAAAATGCGAGGGGGAACCTGGGCTGAGAATGAACATCTTCAAGCTGAAGCTGCATCCAATGCTAAACTACTCGGGACCGCTTCGTCTTCCAAAGAGAACATTCTCGACAGAATTTTTGCCCACCGAAAAGCTGCTGTCATTGCCCAAAAGAAGATTCCGTCTCAGCGTCCGATTGACCTTCAGGCGTCTTATGATATGAACCTTTCTCCGCCTCAGATATCATTCGTGGAACGATTAAGGCTGTCCCCACTTCCATTATCCCTCATGGCTGAAGTTAAGCGGGCCTCACCTTCGAAAGATATAATATCCATTTTGACATGTGCACTTGCCCAGGCCATGGAGTATGCGCTAGCTGG